TTTTTTTTTTTTTTTTCTACGTGTACGAGAGACAAACAGAACAGGGAGAAAGAGAGAAAGGGAGATTCATCCAATATTTTAGTATTTTTTTTTCTGTTCTCTTTTTTTTTCCTTTTTTTCTTTTCTTTTCTTTTTTCCAGGTCGATTTGGTTCTCGTGGAAAGCTGCGTTAGTTTCTGGTGGCACCGATCCAAAGCCATCGTCGTCTCTTCAACGTCCAGACGCCATGCGCTAGACATAGCACGTGTCACGATCCTCTTCGTGATAGTTTAAATCGAGTTTCACGCGTCTTTCTCTTTCTCTCTCTCTCTCTCTCTCTCTTTCATGGCACCGATAACGGGACGTAATCTTGGATGCACGGCAAATTCTTTGGAAATGGTATGCGTAACCCGTGTGTTCTATATATCTAATATATATATAAGCATAAGAAGATAACTTACTTTCAAGAATAATAAATAACAAAACTATCTCAATCAAGATTATTTTCATATAAAAAAATTGCAATATTATTATACTTATACAGATTTATCTACTAAACAAATTGTGGACAAAATTTCTAATCAAATAATTTAGATATCGTGCATGTACGACTTACACACATTCCTTTCCTTGTAATACAAATGAAACGAAACGAAACGAAAGAAAAAGAAAAAATAGAGGAAAATCTTATCTTATCTTATCGTTTATGTGATCGAATATTTTTTTTAACTACGTTCCCTTTTTTTTGTCCGACGACAAAAAGGAAGACACACAATTGGACTTACCTTTTTTATAATCGCGTCTGTCGTAAGTAAAATTGTGATTCACGTCCGGGGGAGGGATGTTCGCGTTGTAGAGAGCAGAATGCAAGTCTCGTTGCAACAGTCTCGTCTCGTGAGTAAGCTCTCGAACCTGATCGAGAAGCTTCTCATAGCTCGATATTGGAAGCGTCATTCCTCTCTCATTTGGCTTCATTTACGTATCGTTCCTTGTGTTAGCCGCGCCTTCGCTGGACGCCTTATTTTACCACCCTCCTCCACCGACATTTTTTTCGGCGATTACTTTTTTGTTCTTTTTCTAAAACAATAATGTTTTTTTTTGTTTTGTTTTGTTTTGTTTTGTTTACGTTACGACGATTAATTAAAATTCTACGAAAGAATATGCCGAACATTTTACTAAATTATCTCTAAACAAATCCCCCCTCTCTCTCTCTCTCTCTTTCTTCATTCATACCAGCCCTTTCACCCAACCCCTAAAAAAAAGTATTTTTTAAAGTAAAACATTTGTTTTCTTTTATTTTTTTTTTTTTTTATTTATTTTAAAGTTAAATAAAAAAGTTCCCCCATTTTTTAAAAATCATGCCAAAATAAATAAGAGAGAAATTTCTGCCAAAAGTAAAAAATGACAAACGATATTTCTACTGGTCTCTACTTCGTTAAAATAAAAATAAAATAAAATAAAATAAAATATAATTATTGTAGACAATATTTTCAAATAATAAACATTGAATCTTAAATTGAAATGTTTGATGAAAATAATACAATTGTGGACAAACCTTTAGGACAATTTAACAAAGTTCTTTTTTTTTTTTTTTATCAACTCTTTAAAGTAAAATGAGAACGAAGAGAGACATTTGAAGAGATTAAAATACTTTTTTGTGTTCTAAGCGAAAGAATTTTATGTGTGTGTTGCATGTGCGTATGTATGTATGCTTTAGACGATCATCATCCTTGACGTAGGAATATGATCTTTTATCTCTTTTCAACGAATGAAAAAAAAAAAAAAGGAAAAAAACAAGATCGTATATGACAAAATGAAAATTCGTCGTGAGTATAAGATTCGTAGGATAGAAAAGGGATGATGATTTTTTTTATTCATCGTGAACAACTCATCATCATCGATCTTTTATTATTATCGCTTTTACGAACATTCGAGTATCAAACTGAAGAGAGGAGGAGGAGGAGGAGGAGGAGACATTTCTCTATTTCACATCTTCTTTTCTATATACCAACAATAATTATAATTATAATAATGACGGTAGGAACAATGAGATAGAATTAAGAGATGGGAAAAGAAAATGAGAAGAAAAAAAAAAAAATTAAAACTCAAATATTTTCATTAATGAAGGACGGAAAATGTAAAATAAAAATGATCATAGAGGTTAAGAACAATAAGATCGCATTAATATAAAATAATTGTAATTAATATACTCTCTCTTCGCGTACAATTGTGACGAATTAAAATAAAAAAAAAAAAAAATAAAAATTGCGACAATTTCTCTTCTCTTCTCTCGGATAAAAATAATAATAATAATAATAATAATAATAATAATAATAATAATAATAATTAAAAAAAAAAAAAGATCCAAATTAAAAGAACAATTATAAATTTCATTTACATATTATAAGAATTATACACATGATTTTTAAGATACACACACGGCGGCTAGGTACACTTCTCGCGAACGTGGTAGTAAATAGAAAAATAACATTAAATAAAATTATTTATAAAGACAAAAGTTAAAAATTAAGAAACAAGATAGAAAAGAATTAGAAGAAGAAGAAGAAGAGAAAAAGTAGAAAATAACAAAGAAAACCACAAAGAATAAGCCGACGCGCACGGATTCATTATTAGCGGGTACGCGAATGAAACGTTGAAGCGTTTCGCGTTTCTATCCCTCGCGTGTTTTCTCCTCCTGATGGAGCTTTTGTTGTAGATGAAAAAGAAAAAGAAAGAAAAAAAAAAGGGGAGGAATTGAGAGAGAGAGAGAAAGAAAAAGAAAAGAAAGGGGTTGGGGGAGGAACGTAGGGAGGAGGAGGGGGGGGTTTACTGCGCCCTCACCGCCGTTGCATTTGCACTTTCTGCACGCGGCCACTTGTGCTCGTATGATAGCTCCAAGCGATATAGTCGTGCGTGCAACTACTTCCTAAAGGGAAAAAGAAAGAGATAGAAAGAGGAGAGTGGAAAGAGAGAAAGAGAATGAGAGGGTGGGAGGGAGGGAGGGAAGAAAGAGAGAGAGAGAGAGAATTGTCTCGCTCTCTATAACAACTTCCGATCGATTGTCCAAGGGAAACAGCTACGTGTCGAGTGCTATGTCCGTTGTGTTATACTTGACGATCCTAATCGAGTTTAATTATAATAATTTAATAATATTTAAGAGAGAAAAAAAAAAAAAAAGAATAAATTACAAACAAAAATTGATAATAAGTATAATGATACGAATAATAATATACATAATATAAGAGATACATGTTGTTTTTTGTTTTTATTACGCCAACACCATAAACATAAAATGAATGCGTGATTATTATTATTATTATTATTATTATTATTTTAATCATATAATTATTATTCTTGCTAATCGCATTACTATTTAATATTGTAATTGTATAATTATATATATATATATATATACACACGCATACACATATAAACTTTATAATATTACAGTACAGTGTGATATTGTAACGATGATCCATGTAGATCAAGTGAGATCGATGAAAGCATATAAAAAGGAAAAAATCTTCGTGCAACTTTGAGTCAGCTTACAGTGAAATATCGAAATACCATATTATCAAACTATCGAAACTTAAAATACACGTTGTTCTCGTACGAGACCTTATTTTTACTTTCCTTTTTATTTATTTATTTATTTATTCTTTTTTTTTTTACAACTTCCAACCAAAAATGGGAAAATCCTTGGCGAGAATGCCGACCGGTTTGACGAGGTCTCTATAAAAGTAGACATGTGTTAGCTGGAATGTTGACCTGCATCTATCTCATCGTACTTTGTAATTCATGTATAAATAAATCGAAATACCTTTCTTTAAAGTTAACATACGAATATAATAAAAATACAAAATGAAGGATATAAAAATCGAATGCAGAATGCAACTATTATACGAAATTCTTCTCTCTCTCTCTATCTCTATCTCTTTATGAATTTCGATTCAAAACGTTCGATTTATCAAAACGAATGAAAAATAAAAAATAAAAATAGATGACAAAATATAAAGTTCTTCTGGTTTTTATTTTCTTTTCTTTTTTTTTATTTTTTTTTTTTTTTTTTAAGAGAATATATGTACATTCATCACAGTGATCTGAATAATTTACAGGTGAATTTGAAAAATCGAGAATCGAGCGAACGAGCACGCACGCACGCCCGTATGCACGCAAGCACTCACGCATGCATGCACGCACGCACGCACGCTTGCGGAAATAGAAATCTAATACGTTCACGGTAATTCCAACCGAGAGAGAAAGAGAGACTATGCTTCTTTGCTGCATCCTGGGAATCGAAAGCCACGAAAGAGGAGATACATATACACCACTTTGCATTGGATACTTTGCTGGATAGTATAAGAGAGATTTAAGAGAATTAAAAGTTTATAAATCCCCTGAACGCAAAAGAAAAAAAAAAGAAAAAAAAAAAAACAAGAAGAAAATGAAAAGAGAAAGAGAGCTGGAAATAGAAAAACATAAAAATCAATCAGGAAAGAAGGAAGCACAAATTAATTCTCGACCTACATAACTTAACTTCTACTATACTACATCAGAATTTATTCATCTTTCGCTTTCTTGTTTATATTTTTATTTATTATATTTTTTTTTCTTTTTTTTCTACTCGTACGTTGAATCACCCTTCTACGATTTCTCTCTCTCTTTCTTTCTCTCTCTCTCTCTCTATTTTTTATTTTATTTTGCATTGAAACACGTCCAACTCGTTCGATGTTTGTTTTCTCCATCTCATCGTTATCGAAAACTCTCGACGAATTTTTTTTTTATTCCCCCCAAATACATAGAGACACACGTGTATGTGTACCATGTATCATCAAACATCAAACTATTTTACATAAGTATGAAAACAAATGTCTAAACGTTTGTACACAGTCTCTCATTTAAAATCGAACTATGAACGACCGACCTAACGAACGAACGAATGAATGAATGAATGAATGAAATTTGTATTTTTTATCTCAAAAATCATTTCGATAACTCTTCATGTATTTATGTATGTGAATTATGAATGAATGAATGAATGAATGAAGTGAAGAAAAAAGAAATGATGAAAATTCTGTTATTTATAATGACAGAATAGGACTTTTATTACATGTCGTGTAAAAAAAAAAAAACCAAATTAATGAAATTAAGTAGAGTTAAGTGAAAGAATAGAATGATCTGGGTCGTAAGTTAATTTCATATTATTTTCTTTCTTTCTTTATCTTCAAAGAAAGTCTATCTTTTTCTTCTTCATCATTTTCTTGTATTCCTTTCAAAAACGCCATAAGGGATTTCTCGTTCGTTATAAGATACTCCTACCATAGTAAATATAAACGTGCTTATTTCTTTAACTTCTCTTCTCTCTCTCTCTCTCTTTCTCTTTTATTTTCTAGTCTTCTCTCTCTCTCTCTCTTTCTTTCTCTTAACTGCAACAGTAATTAGGACTGCACGCCTGGCGAACTAATTTATCGCGAGGTACATCAGGATTAATTCGTTTTTCATGCTTCAAGGTACACATGTATACGCATATATGTGTAATGCGTATTATATAGTTTACCTTTACGATCAATAATAAAGATTCTCTATTCCTCTTTTATTATTTTTAAAATAATTCCCATTGAAATTTGAGAGTGATATTTAAATTACGACGAAATATTCACAATCACATTAGAAGTAAATTTTGTAAACAACAATTGATACCGATATAAGTAAATCTTAATTAACGAAAGATGATTTGAGTAACGGTTTAATCGATTAAAAAGAATAAATAACCTCTTTATTAGTAAAAAAAAAAAAAAAATTAATAATTATAACCGCGATTGAGTATAATATTTCTCGTTAAAGTCGATTTCAATGATTCTCTTCTTGTCGTAAAATTGTTCTTTTATCTAAGAAATCAAAAAAATTTTAAACAATAATAATAATAATAATAAGAATAATGATGATATTAATAATAATAATTTATCTGAGATTTTCGCTTTAATTAAATGAGAAAATGTTAGCTTTCTCTTTCTCTTTCTCTCTTACATGCATAATATAATTACGAATAAATGATAGAAAGAGAAGGAGAGACAATCTCTGATCAAATTTAACAGAAAAATCACCCGTTCTTCTATGATAATTTTCTTGAAAGAAGGTGAGTAAGAAATAAAGATAGAAAAGGGATAAAAAGAAATAGAGAGAGAAAGAGAGAGAGAGAAAGAGAACAAACGCTTGTAGTTGCTTTAGCAAGCACGTCTGCGGTGTGCGTTCCGTGCTCCATAACTGGAACCAGTCTTGATTGTAAGAAGAAAAAGGTGTAGGTAGGGTAGCTCTAACATAGGTTATACTTATACCTAGGTTATTTCAATAAAGATAGAAAGAAGATCTTAAAACTACTTACATCCTATCTCTTTATTCTATCTCTTTCTCTATTTCTTCAATATGAAACTAACTAAACGAAAACAAGTTCATCTTATTTTACATACAAAACATAAATTAATTTTAAAATTGTTTAAGAGAAAGGTATAGATATATACAAAGATAGAAAGAAAGATAGAAAGATAGAAAGAAAGAAAAAGAAAAAGAGTTACAATTATAAATGATCCTTTTCTATGCATTAATACGTTTCCTGTAACGTGTACCGTTTTCTGTTAACAGTCAAGATTTGATCATTTCAAATGGCACAACATATTATTATCTGTAATTATTAATTTTAAAATGAATAATTCAAATTTTAAAACTCTCTGAAAAAAACATAAAATATCTATCATACAGATATATATAT